CTGTGCCTGCCACGTCTCTGCTCCTTCCCGTGGCAGGGCGGCCTCCGGGGAGCACCCCGTTTAGAGAAGTACCTCCTCACTGGCTGTGCCCTCCCACTTTGTTCCCAGCCCCCCACCCCCCAACCCTCCCCGGAGGCAGGGCCCCTCCTGTCCTCTAGGGCACTTCTCCCCGTGTGTCCAGAGCGGGAGCCCCGGACACAGATCCGTGGGGATGAATGGACACGCTCCTGCAGGGACTGAGCTGGTGCTCACCTGCAGCAGCAGCCACACAGTGGGCCCCTCGCCCTGCCCTGGGCCCCTCTGCAGCCGGTCAGGCCTGGGACCAGCAGCTTCAGGCCCTGGGAGCCAGGCTGGGGAAGCCCATGGCAGCTGAGCTGGGCTGTGGGTGGGGAGAGGCCGAGGCTGGGCCCTGAGAGTGTGAGTGTGTGTGTGTGTGTGTGTGTGTGTGTCTGTGTCTGTGTGTTTCAGTATCTTGATTGAGCTGTAGTTCATCCACCGTACAACCTACTCATCGAAATTGTGCAACTCGCTGACCTGTATTCTCCAAATTGTGCAGGCATCGCCGCTGTCTAATTTTAGCACGTTTCCATCACCCCCAAAAGACACCCGTGCCCTTTAGCAGTCGCTCCTCACTCTCGCCCCCACCCGGCCCCTGGCAGCCACTGATCCACTTCCTGTCTCTCTGGACCCGCGCTTCTGGACGTTTCATGTGAATGAATCACAGGACGAGGCCTTTGGGCCTGTTCCCGCCACTCAGCGTGTGCGCTGTCCTCCGCACGGCATGTGCGGTGGCAGAGTTGTGCTTTGAGCCTCCTCAGAAGTCTGGCCCCTCCCCTGGTACCCAGTGGCCTGGACCACCTTCTGTATGTCCGGTGGGCGTGCTTGGCCTCACCTGCACCAGAGGTCAGAGTTCATAAGCCCCTTCTGTTGCTACATGCTGTCCAAGGACTCGGGGGTTTGCCTGCTGTGTGCAGGGCCCCCCGAGCCACTGCACGGGTCCCATCTCACTGTCAGTGGCCGTTTGCATGAGCTGTGCTCAGCCACCTCCTCCAGGAAGCCTTCCTGGCCTTTCCCCTCCCACAGGGTCTGGGCGCCTGGGCCGGTCTCCCTGTGCGTGGCTGTCTGTTTGCCTGCCTGTCTTCTGAGCTCCTGGGGGGCAGGAGCCCTGCTTTCACCTGACCCCTGGCTGGCCTCATGAGGACAGTGCAAGTGTGTGGGGAATGGATTGTTGCAGGGGAGGGTGGGAAGGGGAGCCCCTCCCTCAAGGACCGCCCCACCATTCCTGCCCTGTGTCCTCCGAGTGCCTCCAGGGCAGGCCCGGGTGTGGCTGTGGGCGGCCTGGATGGTCAGGTGGGCAGAGCTGCTGAGGGAGCCTGAGCCCCCCTG